TTTTCTTCTCATTTTTTGACTTTCTATGCGCGCCGACAATAGATATCGTGTCACGAGCATTTGCTGCGACTCTCATTCTCCCGGCAAGTTTTGAAGCTATCGGGAAAATCTGGAATCTCGTGTGTATTACATCGTTGTGAAAATAAAAAAAAAAAAAGGAAAAGAATAATAAAATGAATGCGTACCAATACATTTTAAAAAGGGCAATTCACTGTAATACCACAAAAACTAATGCCTGATGCAAAATGCAAAGATTTATGTTCATCATATCAGGCAAAGTGAAAGAAAATAATCTTCTTTTTTTTGTATAAATCATTCAAAAATCCACACGAGTAAACAATAGAAGATATTTGAAAGGGAAAGTCAATCTTTAGAATAATATATCTTAACCCGTATGGTGCACATAATATTCCATTCACATTCCTGGAATACTCCATTGGAATATTGGGAATATTCCAATGGAATTCTAAAAGAATATTCCGTTAATTCTCTAGGAATATCAAAATATTTGATCTTTGGAAAGTCCCTTTGGAATATTGTCGGAATATTCCATTAGTATTCCTGGAATATTCTATTGGAATGTATGGAATATTCCTTTGGAATTCTAAAAGAATATTCAATCCATTTTGTGGAAATATTAGAATATTCGATTTTTGGAACGTCCCTTTAATATATTTTACAAATATTCTAATGGAATGTTATAGGAATATTTCAGGAATATTACAGAAATAATGTACGGGAGCGTTCCTTTGAAATATTTCTAAAATATTCTCTTATATAGTACAAAGTATTCGAATAGAATAGAATAGATCTTGAAATAGAATTCTGAACTAAAAAATGCAGAATATATTCCATTCACATTCCTGTAATATTCCATTGGAACTTAGGGAATATTCCTTTGGAATTCTAAAGAAATATTCCATCTATTTTCCAGCAATATTAAAATATTTTATCTTTGGAACATCCCTTTGGTATATTGCAGGAATATTCCATTAGTATTTCTGGAATATTCCATTGGATCTTAGAGAATATTCCTTTGGAATTCCACGGGAATATTTATCATTCGATTCGACTGTGGAATTCGAAAGTAATATTCTAGGAATACGAATGGAATAAATTACAGTATTCCAAAGAAAAAAAAACATTCTAAAGTTCAGAAATTTTAATATTCCTTGAATATTGAATAGTCCTTTGATATATTCCTAATGTTGCAATGAATTATTTTAGAAATGTGAATAATATATTCCGTTCTATTAAAAAATATTGAAAGAATATATGAAAAACAGTGATTGAACAAGAAATTTTTCTCAAGAATATTAATGTAATATTTATTCCATAATATTTCCACAATATTCCAAGGAAATAATTCCACATAATTCCAATGAAATATTTCCGTATTTCTATGAATATTTCCATATTTCAATGAATATTCACGCAATATTTTAATGGAATATTCCTACAATCTTTTAAAGAAATGTTTCAAATGTACATTTGGAACATTTCTTATCGAACATTTTAATATTCCTGGAATAAAAATGAAATATTTTTAATATTCCTGGAATATTTCAACAATATTTCATTGGAATATTCCTAGAATATTTCAAGGAAAGTTTCCAAAAGTCGGACATTTTAATATTCCTGGAATAAGAATGAAATATTCCCAATATTCCAATGGAATATTCCTGGAATATTTTCACAATATATAATTGAAATATTCCTAAAATCTTTCAAAGGAATGTTCTAAAAGACAAGACATTTTAATAATACTAGAATATGAATAAAATATTCCTAATAAAATATTTCTATAATATTTCAAAGGAATATTTCCAATATTTTCAATAAAATATTCCAAAAATGTAAATGGTATTTTGTGCATAACGCGTCCTGTCTCTCAATCAAAATACTCAAATACAAATATTTCACACTCGAGATTATATAGATATTAATCTACTGGAGGTCAAACGATCGTCGATGCTTCGATGGTTTTTGAAATTCAGGACGTTGTATTTTAACGGTATACACAAAAGGCAACTTTTAAAGGTTATAATGTTTCACTAGACAATTTTTCGATTGGAAATTTAATATTGGAGGCATTTATTAACGCCAGCACAGCTGTCTCCAATTTTCTATTAAAAAAAAAAAAAAATAAACCTCGTGGATTTATATATCTAATCGAAAGAGCCTATCAATTATTATTCTCTTCTAGCGAATATAATTTGAAACTAAACAAATTTTTTTTTTTTTGAAATATATATAACTATTCATAAATTTTTTTTTATCCTCCTTTTGGCAAAAAAAAATCGTTTTCAGATTATTAATAATACAATCAATCTTTTTCGAATATTAATATGTATAAATGATAATTTTTTTTTAAAAAAAATCGTTTTTTAAAAAAAAAATATGTCGTGGAATTTCCCCCCTTGTGTTGTTGTTTTTAAGAGTTTCTACCACTCACGCAACTCAAATTTCAACTTATAATATATCTGATGTGTGTATGTGTGTGTGTGTATAGAATTACCAGATAGGTGAGGTTTAAACTTTTCAGATTTTATCGGAACAGCTTTCTGTCAATTTCAAATTACTGTGCGACGGCTTTTGCTGCGATGTTGAACATAATATTGGAAATTGCTGCGCTCATAATATTTTCACAATATATATATATATATATATATATATATATATATATATAACAAATTTTATATAACAAAATAATGAAGATAAATAAATAAAAGATAAAAATTTTAAATAATAATAAAAATTATTAAAATAATGAAAAGAATAAAAAAAATAACAAAGTAAAGAAACATAAAAATTAAAATAGAAAAATTAAAAATCAAAAATTAAAACAAAATAGATTTTTTTTAAATTTTGTAACAAAAGAAAAACAAAACAAAAATTTATATATGAAAGTAGAAGAAAATTAAAAAAAAAGTCAAAAGTTCATCATATCCGTTTTTTTCTTATGTTCTCTCTGTTACAGTTATTGTTGGAAAATTATGTCAACCGAACCATTAATAATACGCACTTAATCGTTTTTATCTAAATCTAAGGAGTAAAAATAGGGGGCCTTCTTGTTTTTTTTTTTTTTTTTTTTTTTTTTTTTCGTTACACATCACAGACCCAAAATGAGAGACAAATTACTCAACTTTTACATTATTCTTTCTTTTTTTTCCTCGAACAATATTTATCCCAACTAATTATAACTGATTTTGAATTTCGATAACCACCTTGTAATGTGTCGTTATTTCATTTCAAAACCATATTTTCCCATTAATATTATTTTCCTCAAGTAATTAATAATAATTTATCCGAAAATTACACGTTTTTTACTTCAAATTTTTAATTTCTTCATTTAGTTTTTTTTCTATTTTATTTAATTATTTTTATTATCATTATTTATTCTTAAGATTATTAATATTATTTTTTATTATTAATAAAATTTTTATTATTATTATTAATATCATTATTTATATTTTTACTGTTTTTGTACTACTATTATTAATAATTTATTAGTATAATTTATTTTAATTCAATTATTTTTAATTAATTTATTTAGTATTTAAATTCAGTTAATAGTTAATAGTAACTTCGATAATTAAGGTAAGTTCAATTAACAGTAGTTTTAAAAAGTATTAGTTTTAATTTATCATAGTTACAAACAATGGTAAACCAAACTGGCACTAAGTTCCGTTATTCAAAATCATATATATCTATATTTAATGATAGTTTTAATTTCTGAATTCTTTTATAACAATAATAGGTTTAGCTTCAATTTAAAGTAGCCTCCGTTAAAAGTATTTTCAATTAATCATTAAAATATGAAATTTTAATGATTATTTTTTTTTATTGAAATCTTTAAAAAATGTAGATTTAGAAATTTCAATTTCTAAAAACTACTAAAAAAAAAAACTAAAAACTAATTTTTAAAAAAAGCTTCAATTTCCAAAAATATCTTCAATTATCTATAATCAGTCGAATTATTGATTTAAATAGTCAAATCTGCATTATCGTTAATCGGTAAAACAGATTTGAATCGGAAAAAAATTCTACTAATTTTCAGTGTATAACTGAATTTCAGTGGAAAATTTCAGTAATATTTTTATTGAAATTCAAACACATTTCACTGAAAATCAATCGAATTATTACTGTTTTAAACAGACAAATTTACATTACCATCAGTCGGTAAAACAGATGTCACTGACTCAATCAATAAAGACTTCCACTAATTGCAAAAATAACTGAATATCATTGGAAATTAGTAATTCAGTTGCTAAATTCCAAATATTAAAAAATATCCTTATAATTAAAAAAAAAAAAGATTCTGTCATTAAAAAAAGAACTATGCAAAACAATTATAAAAAAAAGACGCATATAGTGCAATCTCATGATGCACGCGGCAAGGAATCAATATTGCCGGATTGGTTCGATAACGCCTCGTAAATATAATAAAGTCTCCCGCTCATCGCGGCAGGAGATGAGAATGATGATGATGATGATGATGATGATGAAGATGATGATGATCGCAGTACCAAAGGTTTCGCGATGTTGAAGCAAAATGGTGTTACATAGAAAACTGGTCTTGTACACATATAAAATATATATAGTGTGCTATATGTTTCGGAAGAGAATATAGCCACACAGCTGTAGGATTCCTCACACCCCCGCTTTTAAAACCTTCTTCGTCCTTATAGGCCTAAGCAGAATAGATTCTTGAACGGGAACGCAATCGTGAACGGAAACGTAAGAATGGGTGAGAGAAGAATAAAGATATTTGCTATCCTTCTCTTACACATTCTTACGTTTCCGTTTACGATTGCGTTCCCGTTCAAGAATCTATTCTGCTTAGGCCTTATAATCCCTCTACTACATATATATATAAATCCCCCTCCACTCACATTCTATCTCTCTCTCTCTCACTCTCTCCCACTTGATGTCTGACTCGAGCATGGGACTCTCCACTATTCTCAAGCACAAACCGAATCAGTGAGTTTCAACTCGTGCCGGTGAACGGTTGTCCTATACTCGTTCCAAACAAAAAATTTTTCCCTGACGTTCGATTTTTGCGAGCTTTTTTTTTCCCCCCATTCCTTCAAATAAATTTTGCAAAAAAAGAATAAAAATTAAGGATTAAATTTAAATCGATCGAATGACAGTATTGTTAAAAATTCCAGGATATCACAAAATTTTGGATAAGAGTGAAGCTTAGTGCGATAAAAACAGTGGAATAATCAAGTGATTGTGTTTGTGTATGTGAAGAAACAAAATATAATAAAAAAAGAGTATCTTAAATCGACGATTGAAGATATTGTAGAACCCTTTTTTTTCGGTTAATTAGAAGCTTCTATTATCAAATTTTTTTTCAAATTTAGCGAAATGATAATCTCCTATATGTCCGTATAGGAAACCGGCAGCTTCAACCGGAGACTTCAACGCCTGTGTGTGGTCCTTCTTGCTGCTGGAACCCTGGATCTCCTCTCGATCGAGAGAGGGACCTTGGGCGTACGTAGTTGGTTATTTCGTTCTCGAGGTTGAGAGATCGAGGATACACAAGGCGAACCAAGAAGTAGAAGAAGAAGAAGAAAAAGGACAAGAAAGAAGGGAAATGGAGTGAAGCAAGACAGTTCAGCCTTTTGAGACACATGCGAGAATCTTTTATTTTCTTCCGCAAATAATAGAACTAAAACAGAATTAACTATATATAATCCAAATTCTCAATGATGATGTTCTCAAATCAAACCACGTCGATTTCATCGGCGACATGCCCTAATTTCTTTTCAAACAAACGGTGACAGGAGTCTACAAACAAAAAAAATTTAGAAATTTGCGGATGTTTCAGAATTATTCCAGTTTGTGTTACACGTGAACATATTCAAAGTGTTTTTATTTTTCAAAAATTCCCATACCCTGGATTAATCATCATCGATGCAATTCACCGAACGGAAGACATGAGTGTAAGGAAATCATTTTTGACCAATAATAATTTATTTATTACAGTAAAAAGGGAAATCAATCTAATATTCAGAGGAATTTATATTTGTGATCGTAAAAACTTCACAGAAAAGGAAATATATAATTTTTCTTTCTCTCTTCGCGAAAACTTCCTATACGTTTTTGTGTGTGTGTGTGTGTGTGTTATTATATTTGCTACAATGGAATAATGATGGAAGGTTCTTAACTAATGTGAAAATCAATTATATATTATTATTTCCCCGGTGGTTATAATACAAATAGCTACAAACTATGCAATTTACTACCTTCCTCTCTTCTAAAGATCAGTTTTACACTTTAAGATAATAGAAATATAGCATTACTGTCACTCAAAAAACTACCATGTTTAGATGATTGACAGTACAAATTTTCAATGTAAAATCGCGCTCATTCAATATATAATAGTTGTGAAGAAATATTACGTGAGTACAAAGTTATGGTTCGATTTTGATTTCAACGAATTGTTACAAGAATTTACGGTTCGATTTTGATTTTAACGTATTGAAATCAAAATCGAACCATAAATTTTTGTTGTACTCACTGTATTATGAGAGAAAATTTTATCAAAATAGTTTGCCCAATTCTTCAAAAAATTAGTTGCAAGGCTTCAAAATCAATCCGAATGAAAAAATACAAAAATGAAGACAAAATTAAACGTATTCCAAGTAGTAAAATTAATCAAAAAGATACACAAAAAAATCTTTAAATAATGCACCGAAAGTTCTACTAAAGCATATTATCTACTAAACCTCTACTTATTTTCCAAAAACTATCAATATTCTTCTACCCCGAGTCAAAATTAATAAGTAATAGTTTCCTAAACCCCAAAAAAGTTCAATCAAGACAAAGTTATATCCACCCTAAGGTACAGTAAAATTATAGTTTTACCTATTACAACCACAAACTATCCAAAAAACCATATAATCTGAAATTCTAAAAAAATTACGATCACCGTAAAATACACTATTCTTTATAGGAAAAAAGCAGATGATACTTTAACACCAAAAATGTTGTACTCACTGTATGAGAGAAAATTTTATCAAAATAGTTTGCCCGATTCTTCAAAATTAGTTGCAAGGCTTCAAAATCAATCCGAATGAAAAAAATACAAAAACGAAGACAAAATTAAACGTATTCCAAGTAGTAAAATTAATCAAAAAGGTACTCAAAAAAATCTTTAAAATGATGCACCGAAAGTTCTACTAAAACATTAGCATCTACTAAACCTCTACTTATTTTCCAAAAACAATCAATATTCTTCTATACTCCGAGTCAGGATTAATAAGTAATAGTTTCCTAAACCCCAAAAAAGTTCAATCAAAACAAAGTTATATCCACCCCAAGGTACAGTAAAATTATAGTTCTACCTATTACAACCACAAACTATCAAAAAAAAACCATATAATCTGAAACCCTAAAAAAATTACGATCACCGTAAAATACACTATTCTTTATAGGAAAAAAGGCAGATGATACTTTAACACCAAAAATTCCTATCAAGGTAACCAATCTAAATATACAAGCACGCGTATAGATATATATGATCAATACTAGTGATCTAAACCACTAAATTCAAAAATTCGAATTCAAATATACCTCCCTTGTTTAGGACTCCCCTCTGGGATTTTATTACTTCTCATTCAATGGCTCACGTCTCGAGAGATGAAACATTATACAAGTAGAAGTCGTAAGAAATAGGGAGGCGCGCACAGGATATATACCCAACTTGAGTAAAACAGCGATTATAATCACCGAGCACACACTAAATCAAACGGCATCTTTTTTTTTATTATTATTTTTTCTTATTGAAAATCAATTATTTATGGTTGAAATGCCAATCAGTGCGTTTCAAAGTTTCGTTTTTTTTATCCCTCCAAGCATATATCAAAAACAAATTTTTTTCCTTATTTCCAAATGGTCGTCAAATTTCTTTTGGGTAAAATTACTATATGAATTTCACGAATTTAAGTCTTTTGTGAATTTTTATTATCCAAACTATTGTTCCTTGCGGACGCAAAGCTTAAAAAAGAAAAATTCAGAAATTCTAATCTAAATATTGAGAAATAATTCTGTTCTGTCCAAGTTGCAAATTTTCATGCTTCAGGAATTCAAATCTAAAGGCTTAAAAATCACATAGCAAATTTCGATGTTCGCAAGTTCTGAACTTTAAAAGTTCAGAAACTCATTGTATAACAACCTACATGAAAGGCAATACCAAATCTGTTGATTGGAAACAAAATTCCTTAATGTTTTCAAATTTCTTTTTCTGCTAATACGACATTTGCATAATCGTCACATAAGATACGCGCAACTCTCTCGTGACATTTGCAATTGGAAAAGGGCACAGATAGTTGAAAAAGAATCCAAGGTACATTTAAAGATGCTGTTACACTTTGGGGGGCAACTAAGGCAAAGTCATTGCTTCTATGCTACACACACAAACACAAACACCAGGGAGAATGGAAAAAGGAGCAAAGGCAATAATCGTGTGTTCGGTCCACAGCTTATTAGTTCGCATTGGTTCGCGCGAGAAAACCGGCTGGACAATGAAGCGAGATTGCATATTGTTGTTTATATTTACGCGGCGCGGCATAAATCTTCGTTTAACTCGCATTCAGAGTGGGATATTGTTGGTACCTGTTGGTACTTGTTCTTTCTCTCTTTCTCTTTATTTTTTTTCCCCTTCTCTCTCGCTACAGTTCGTCACGGATAACGCGCGGTCTTCATTAAACCTAACCTCTCTTTGCGTGCCGTGCGCCCATTAAGAACGCGGGTCCGGCCTACAACTAATTTGTACTGTAAATGAGATCCAAGGATCGTTACCCCCGTGAACGGAACACGAAACATTTTGCCCTCTTCTCTCTATACATATGTGCACGTCTAAAAGTGCGTCTTGCAGCTGCAAGTCTTTCTCTTTCTCACACACGAAGTATCACCCAAAATTTAGTACGTGCTTTCGATTACGTCCAATTTGACGTGGGATTGCTCTCCTTATGCGTATCGCGTGTTTTTACAAATAGGGTGAAAAGAAGAGTGGGTGAAATTCACACAGCTGCTGGTCCATCAAACTTTTCACAAGTTTTACAGCTTCCGAAAGTCTCAAAAAGGGAGCTAAGATTTATATACGGCCATTTCAAATTCTTCAGCCCTTCGAATAAAAAAGGCAAATACAAAGTATTTTATCCTTATTCTTGAACCAATTTCTAATTTTCTATTCTGATTTTTTTTTTTAAATTAAAACTTATGATACACTTTTCTCACTATATATATACAAAATCGTATATATATTTCTCTCTACTTGTAACATATATACAATTAATCGTGCTCAAATAGTGTGACCTAAATTTGTCTACAGACTTTTATAATCATTGATTTAATCGAACTCTCTCAAGAGATCCAAAGTGGCGCACATGATCTCCTCACTATAGATTAGATCGAGGGAATATATCCTAATGTACCGTACACGATTTGCACTTTCTCTTGTGCAAAAAACCAAAGGAAAAAAAAAGAATTACGATGGCGAGAAGATAAGAAATAATTAACAAAAAAAATATAAACCATTTTTTTATAATAGAAGAAAAATCATTAACCATAAAATAAAAAAAAAAGGAAAATGAAGATATGTGAATAAAATTAAATTCATGATTTATGATCATTAATGCGCAATTTTCATTTAAATTGTTTAACATGAAATCAATCATCATAGATTATTAGATACTTATTTGCACTAATTGATAATGAGATACGTAATTAAAGTATCAGTATCATCATTAATACAAGAATTGTCTAATACATTCCACTATATATATATATATATATATATATATATATATATATATATATATATATATATATATATATATATATATATATATATATATATATATATATATATATATATACAGTGAATCAATCTTCAACTTTTGCGCTAATTGGTCAATCAAGAATCAAATGACAGGTATATCTTATCCTCCCATATAACGGAGAACTAATTAGAAAGATTCGTCTCGAGTTCCACAACAAATTCGCGAGCAAAAAAGCAACTACCTACTAACGAAAGGGCGCATGGATTTTAGTCTGCGGTTGATCTTGACGCGGATTCCTAAATTTCAAACAGTGGATAGCGGCGGCGACACAAATGTTCCTCGAATTCTGATCCGAATCGCTTTTCGAGTCTGAATTCTTTTGCTGTGCATTTTTTTTCTCTTTATTTTCTTCTTCTTGTCTTCTTTTTTTTCTATAAACTCCTGTTCCTCCCCTCCTCTTTTCCTTATTTACCGCACCTTTATCGCGCCTCTCCTTCTCTCTCTCAGGATTCACCTTCCTTTAAGTTACACATAGCATTTGGAATTCAGAAAGCCGGCTGCAACCGAAACAACAACCACCGAAAGAATCGCGCGCACAGAAACAGCGTCAGGGGTCCTCGCGCCAAATAAATCCACGTCGGCGATCTACGTCAAGAGAGAAGATGCGAGGATGCACCTGCATACTGGGTGTCCCTCTAAATTCCATTCCCTTTTCTCTTGTAACGAGAGAAAGAGAGATATTCTTCAATTAAAAAGTAAATTTCTATTTCATCAATTTTTGTGATAAAAATTTCATTTGGCCAAAATTCCATCAGTCCGCACTTTCATTAAATCGATTTTTCATTTGTCCAAAATTATATTTGTTCGCACTTCCGTTAAGCCAAATTTTCATTTGGCTAAAAGTATATTTATCCAAAATTGTATTTGTCCTCACTACAATTAGGCCAAATTTCCGTTTACCCAAAATTTTATATGGCCAAAATTATATGGTTGTCCGTACATCCATTAGGCCGAATTTTCTTTTTCTAAAATTTTATTTGTCCGTAGTCTCATTAAGTCGAATTTTTATTTGGCTGAAAGTATATTTATCCAAAATTGTATTTGTCCGTAGTTCCATTAAGCCGAATTTCCTTTTTCCTAATACAGTATTTGTCCGT